AGGCGCATGAGTTGCGTGTGACTGCAAGAACTTCTGAGAGGGAAGTAGAGTAGTAGGCTCTGAAGGTAACTTCTGGTAAGAAACATCAGAAGCAGACTTGGTTAGAAGCCAGTAAGAAAACTAATGGTGGTCAAAAGTTATAAGCTTCAAACTCTGATAGGCAGAAGAATGTCCAGAGGGGAAAGGAGAAGTCTGACAAGAAGAATGTTCAGTGTTAATGTTGCAGGAACTTTGGTCACTATGCCAAAGATTGCTGGTCAAACAAAGAAAGGAAGTCAGAAGAAGCAAATATAGTAAGAGGAGACTCTAATGATGAACCCGTGCTATTGTTGGCTTCTGAACCTGATGATCTGAATTCATCAGAATAGTGGTATATGGACACAGGGTGTTCAAACCATCTTACTAGAAACAAGAAGTGGTTGGTTGACTTTGACTCTGGGAAGAGTACAAAGATCAGATGTGTTGATGATAGATACCTCAATGCAGAAGGTATGGGAAATGTCAGAATCATTCTAAACAATGGGAAAGTAGAAGTTATCCAGAATGTTTGGTATGTACCTAGCATGAAAAGCAATTTGATGAGTGTGGTACAACTGGTTGAGAAAGGTTTTTCAGTTACAATGAAGGAAAATATTCTGAAGTTGTATGACTGTAATCAGAAGTTGATTATGGAGTCATAGAAAGGAAGGAACAGAACATTCAAGGTGAATGTTAGAACTGCAGACTCTGAATGTCTTAGTGCAACAAGTGTTGTCAAGGAGAGTGAGTTGTGGCACAGAAGATTTGGTCATCTGAATTTCAGAAGTTTAGGGCATCTGAAATCAAAGAATCTGGTACATGGAATTCCTACAATCAAGAAGCCTGAAAAGTCATGCAAGGTGTGCATGGAAGGCAAGCAACCAAGATTATCCTTTGCATCAGAAGTAGCTCCAAGAGAAAAACATGCCTTGGGAGTAGTACATTATGATGTGTGCGGTCCGTTTCCAGTAGCATCGACTAGAGGGAATAAATACTTTGTGTCATTTGTTGATGAGTTCACCATAACGACATGGGTATCTCTCATAAAGTTCAAACACAAGGTGTTTGCTGAATTCAAAAAGTTCAGACTGAAGGCTGAGAATCAGAGTGGCCAGACTCTGATAATTCTTAGAACTGAGGTGGTGGTGAGTATAACTCCACAAAATTCATAAGTTTCTGTGAGGAGAATGGAATTGAGCATGAGGTTACTTCTCCATATACTCCTCAACACAATGGTCTTGCTGGAAGAAGAAATCGTACTTTGCTAGATATGGTGAGAAGCATGCTGAAAGAGAAGAAGCTTCCTCATACTCTGTGGGGAGAAGCTGTTGCAACTGTATGTTATGTGCTCAACAGATGTCCAACAAAGAAATTAAAGGAAATAGTTCCTATCCAGAAGTGGACTGGAGATAAGCAAAGTGATAGTCATCTGAATGTATTTGGTTTTGTATGTTACAAACATGTCCCAGAAGCCAGAAGACAAAAGTTGGATGATAAAAGTAAAGTGATGTTACTGGTGGAGTATCATAGTACAGGTTCGTACAAACTTTATTTTCCATAAACTAACAAAGTTGAGTTCAGCAGAAATGTCATTGTAGAGGAATCAAAAGTTTGGAATTGGGAAACGTCTCGTCCTGACTCTGATGACATAACTTCTGAAGAAAGGTCAGAAACATGTGTTTCTAAAGCTGGTAAAGACTCTGACTCTGAAGAAGATACAGAAGGATAAGATGATTATGACTCTGACTGCGATAGTGATCCAGACTCTGAAGACAGTCAAGGTTCTGGAGAAAGTCCAATTACTGAAGCAAGTGCTTATGAAGGGGAAATTTCTGGTGTCCAAAGTTCTGAAGGTCCAGTTCAGAGGCAACAAAGAGTCAGAAGCATCCCAAGAAGATTTGTAGAGTTTGACATGTTGCAAGACACTGAAGTATACTTTGAAGGAGAAGTTATTCAGTGTGCAATGTTAGTAGACTCTGAACCCGTGAGTACAGAAGAGGCTCTTAAGCATCAAGTTTGGTTACAGGCCATAAAAGAAGAACTTGATGCTATAGAGAGAAACAAGACTTGGAAGCTGACAAAACTTTCAAAAGGCAAGAAAGCCATCAGCATCAGATGGGATTTCAAGCAAAAGTTAAAGCCAGATGGATCAATTGGAAAACATAAAGCGAGATTAGTAGCAAGAAGCTTTCTACAGAAGTCTGGGCTGGATTATTTTGAAGTGTTTGCACTTGTAGCGAGACATGAAACAATCAGACTAGTGATTGCAATAGCTGCTAACAGGAATTGGCCTCTGATGCATTTAGATGTAAAATCTGCATTTCTGAATGTTCCATTACAAGAAGAGGTGTACGTTTTACAACCTCCTGGATTTGAGAAAAATAATCAGGAAGGATTGGTGTTCAAATTACATAAAGCATTGTATGGATTGAAGCGGGCGCCCAGAGCTTGGAATTTGAAGATTGATTTGTTTTTCAAGGAACAAGGGTTTCAGAAGTGTGAGGTGGAGTATGGTGTTTATGTTCAGCATACTTCAGAAGATAATATGATTTTGGTCTGTTTGTACGTTGATGACATACTACTTACAGGAAGTTCTAAACAAGAGATAGTTGAGTTCAAGAAAATTCTGATGAATGCATTTGAGATGATAGATCTTGGAAAAATGAGTTTCTTTCTAGGGATGGAATTTATGTACTCTGAGAAATGAATCATTTTACATCAGATGAAGTATGAACTAGAGCTTCTAAAGAGATTTAAGCTAGAAAACTGCAAGGTTGTTATCACACCTGCTGATACGAATCAGAAGTTGGACTCTAATTATGATGGAGAGGATGTGAATGCTACAACCTTCAAACAGATGGTTGGTTCTCTAAGGTATTTGTGTAATACCAGACCTGATATTTGCTATGCAGTTGGAATGGTTAGAAGATTTATGAGAAAACCAAAGTGGTCCCATTACCAAGCTGTAGTCAGGATTCTGAGGTATGTGAAGGGAACTCTGAAATATGGAGTGTTATTTCTGTCTGGAAGAAAGATCGAATCAGAACTTCTGATTTATTCTGATTCTGATTGGTGCGGAGATAGAGTTGACAGAAGAAGTACTTCTGGATACTTATTCAAATTTCTGAGAGGTCTTATTTCTTGGTGTTCCAATAAGCAACCTGTTGTTGCTCTGTCAACTTGTGAAGCTGAATATATTGCAGGTGCTCTGACTGCATGTCAAGCTGTGTGGATTCTGAACTTGCTAAAAGATCTGAAGATTGAGGTAAATAAACCTCTGAAGCTGATGATTGATAACAAGTATGCAATCAATCTTGCCAAGAATCCAGTGTTGCATGGGAGAAGCAAGCATATTGAGACCAAGTATCATTTTCTGAGGAATCAAGTTCAGAATGGAATATTAGAGGTTGTGCACTATAGCACTCAGAAGCAGCTGACAGATGTTCTGACAAAGGCTATTAAAACTGATCAATTTCTTGGTTTAAGGGATGAAATTGGTGTTGTCAGTTTTGGATAAATTTAAATTAAGGGATGGTGTTAGAATTAATTTAGATTTAATTAGATATTAATTTATATTTAGGAATATCTTTTAGATTGTTTATATCTTTGTTAGAAGATATATATCTTAGATCTTCTTAGATCTTTGTAGAAGATATATTTTAGATTTAATTTTGTGTATAAATAGCCTAGTGGAATAGGTTATTGTAAATTCATTGTAAATCCTTATTTTGAAGCTATCAATAAATATTTCTTTTGTCTTTTATCTTCCTTGTGCACCCACAATAATTACCGATTAAATATTGATAAAATAACAATTTGGTTTCATCATAATTTTCTAAGGACTTAGGTTTTAGGATGAATGGCCAAAGGTTTTTTCACTAAGGATTTAGGAGAAAATAAACTAAAGATCTGATGATTGAATGTTATGAACTTGTTGAGGAAATCAGGATTGAAAATTATTATAGAGAAAACAATATTGACCCTAGCATGTTACTCATATTTGTGAAAAAGTCAAATTTTACATTCTGCTTATTTTGATTATTGTCAAGGATATATTCCAAATCAAATCTAAAATTAAGTTTTTATTTAATTGAACCAAGAATTAAGCTCCATACATATATGCAGTCCTCGAGATCGATATTCAGGAAATTTTTCTATTATTAAACTACATAGACAAATTAGTATACATGCTAATTTTCTGATCAGTTTATAAGTTTTTAAATTTGACTTTAATCTTGCCGATAAATAACAACTGCAGACGTAAAACATGTTTTTTAAGTTATTAAATTTGTAAAGAATCAACTATATAATAAAATGAATGATCAATAATTAAATGATCATCTTAAAACTTTTATAAAAATAAATATTCTTGAAACAATTAACAATGATGTTAATTTAACTCATTTTCACTAATAAACAATTTTTATTGTAAAATATATTATATTATTTTCAATATAATTTAATTTATATTTTCTTTCATGTTTATCCACATTAATATGAATCCGCTTCTTATTAAAAATGAAGATAGATATAAATGGGAGAGATAAGAGAGATAAGAGAAAAGATGAAGTGATAGAAGTGGTAGTTAATTTTCTTAAATAAGAGAGTTGATTAAAAATTTTGGAGGAAAAAGAGAAATAATACAAAAAGATATTGGAAAACCAGGTACAGTTGGCGGCTACCTAGTGTGGTATGTGTATGTCAAAACATACCTGTCAATAAACCAACAGCGACAGCGGTAACCCACAAAACCAAAGCAGTATTCTGTTTTATTGATTTATTAAAAGTACAGTACTAGTAGTATTTGTTTGTTTAGAAAAAACATCATCCCGTGTTCAACTTTATTTCCTTTCCCACTACTATAAATAAAGATCACTAACACGTTCATTGTTCCACATACAGACATAGCAAAAATCAAATCAAACCAAACAACCCACTCATACATTCAATATTCTCAATTACTTTAATTACTATTGTTAATCATGTCGAACACCGCTGGTCAGATCATCAAGTGCAGAGGTCTACCATTTATTTCTTTTTTTTTTTCAAATTATGTTTTAATCATCGGTTTGTTGATTGTGTTTTGAAAATTTGTATTATAATTGTAGCTGCGGTTGCATGGGAGGCTGGGAAGCCGCTGGTGATTGAAGAAGTAGAGGTGGCGCCGCCACAGACCGGTGAAGTTCGTCTCAAGATACTCTTCACCTCCCTTTGCCACACTGATGTTTACTTCTGGGAAGCTAAGGTAGATTATAAAGAAAATAGTGTGTTTTGTTTCTTTTTCTGTTGTTTTAAATCGCAATAGCTTAACATGGTTTTCTATTTTTTGCCACTGTTTCAGGGTCAGACTCCATTGTTTCCTCGTATATTTGGTCATGAAGCTGGAGGGTATGTTTCTCTTCTCAATATTCAAAGTTGATTATGTATTATCGGTTGAATCCTGTGATTATCTGATGTACGTTATGTAATTTGAATGTATGTTATTGATAATTGTTGGGATGGTGTTAATCAGGATTGTGGAGAGTGTAGGTGAGGGTGTGACTCACCTCAAACCAGGGGATCATGCCCTGCCGGTGTTCACAGGGGAGTGTGGGGATTGTCCACACTGTAAGTCAGAGGAGAGCAACATGTGTGATCTTCTTAGGATCAACACTGATAGGGGTGTCATGCTCAATGACAACAAGTCCAGATTTTCTATCAAGGGACAACCTGTACACCATTTCGTCGGCACCTCTACATTCAGTGAGTACACTGTGGTACATGCTGGATGTGTTGCAAAGATAAACCCTGAAGCACCACTTGACAAAGTTTGCATTCTCAGTTGTGGAATATGCACAGGTATATAGAATGTCTCTAACTTGAGAAATTAATATATAACTAGGCTGAATCTATGTTTTCCTAATTCAATCTGCATTGATGCTTATAGGTCTTGGTGCTACCATCAATGTTGCTAAACCAAAACCCGGTTCTTCTGTTGCTATCTTTGGACTTGGAGCTGTTGGCCTTGCTGTATGTTACCTCTTACACATTTGACTTTATATGTATGTGTTGCAGTTACGATTGGAAGTGAAATGATCCAATATTAACTTCTCCACTTTTCTTTAAACCAAAATTTAGGCTGCTGAAGGGGCAAGGATTTCTGGTGCATCAAGAATCATTGGAGTTGATTTAGTTTCCAGCCGATTTGAATTAGGTACAATGCTTTTATCTTTCAAATACTTGAAGATATGAGTCAACATAAATTCAATGGCTGCTCTTTTATTGATAAAAATTTTCTTATTCTTTTCTTGTTTGCAGCTAAGAAGTTTGGGGTAAACGAGTTTGTAAACCCAAAAGATCACGACAAACCTGTGCAACAGGTTAGTTCATTAATAATTTATTATATTTTTGTTTTCTATTATAATTTTGAGTATGATCCTATGGGTTAAAATGCTGTTTGATTTTTTTATACAAAGAGATTGAGATGTGAAAATTGGTTTGCAGGTAATTGCTGAAATGACTAACGGAGGTGTTGACCGTGCTGTTGAATGTACTGGTAGCATTCAGGCCATGACCTCAGCATTTGAATGTGTCCATGATGTATGCAAAATAAACTTCTTTTACTCTTACTTGTTGCTAAAGAAATTATAAATCTTACTAAGGCTAAAGCTGAACCTTCATTTGTTCTTATTATTAGGGTTGGGGTGTTGCTGTACTTGTTGGAGTTCCAAACAAAGATGATGCCTTCAAAACTCATCCTATGAATTTCTTGAATGAGAGGACTCTTAAGGGTACATTCTATGGAAACTACAAACCCCGCACGGATCTTCCTAATGTTGTAGAGAAGTACATGAAAGGGGTAAGCTTCTATATATTGTATTCTGCATTATTGTAGGAGGATTAACTAGTATTGCAGAATGATATGTTATTTGCATTGTTAATGTGTTAATACTTACTGCAGGAGCTGGAACTGGAGAAATTCATTACTCACAGAATACCATTTTCAGAGATAAACAAAGCTTTTGATTACATGCTCAAAGGGGAGTCTATTAGGTGTATCATCAAAATGGATGAGTAAATTTCTAAAACTGTCTTGTAATAGTCCCTACTGGGGGACTGAGGTCACTCTCTAGTTGTGTGAAAATAAATTTCATAAATAATCCTTTTTGGATTATTGAGTTTGTGAGAATTTGTTAATTTTGTATTTTAAGAATTGTGCTGCTGGGATGTTATAATACTATATTATAAGTTAGATTTAGATTTTGTTGTTGTTGATGGTGTTATATTTTAATGGTTTTAATATATGGTGAGGAAAATGGGTAAACTGTCTGTTATCCCATTTGATTTCTCTTGTGACATCTTTACAAGTCTGCTGATCCCTGCATTTTTTGGGACAAGTTGATATGGACATCTCTAACTATACTGCAAGTCCTATCTCAAAACCACATGGTTCTCTTTAACGACATGAAAACGATATGGCTCTATGGTTTCACTATGCCGAGATTATAAATTTGTTCAGCTGAGTTTCAACATTGAGGGCAGTGATTTACTAGAAACACATTTTTTCAGCATTTCAACTTCCTTGAAGGTGCTGCACTATTGGAAGTTGAACTTGCCTTTGTCAGTGAAGCAATAACAGTACATCTTCCTCTCTATATAGACTCATTACAATCTCATAGGACTAAGAAGTACAGGATAAGCAAACACTAGGGTAGGGAGAGATTATAAGATACATAGTCTTTGTTTTTATAGTAATCATGATAAGAAAATGACCAGGTCCACTAGAGAGAAGAAGAAACCCATTCGATTTAATGATTTCATCTAATAAAAGGGGCTTCAGTTAGTAATATGCTTTATTTTATTTTTGGATGTTGTCTTGTTATTTTAGGCCCATGACCCGTTTAGCTTATTTAACCCTAGCTAAATAAGTTCTTGGAAGTTTGAGACTTAATGAAAGATCTGAAATTTTATCTTATGCTATTTCTTTTAATGCAACTTTGATCTAATCTTAACCTAGTTTAGTCTATCATTTGGTGCTTTCAATCTTTTGTTCTCATGGCTTCTCTCAAACCTACCAACCCTTCTTCCATGGCTTCTCTCAAACCTACCAACCCTTCTTCCAAAGACATAGTGGAAGAAGTTGTCTATCTCTTGTTCTCATGGCTCCTCCCAAATTCATCAACCCTTCTTCTAAAGACATAGTGGAAAAAGATGTCCACACTGCTCAACTTCAACTGAACAGCGCTATAAATCAAATCAAATTCAAATCAAATTCAAGAACAGATGGATGAACGGTATGACAAGGTGAATGTAGATCTGGAACAATATATTGATAAAATCCATACCGAAATGGACAATGAAAGACAGATTTATGAGTCTAGGTATGAGTCTCTTATGTCTACCCTCCAAAAATTGCTCAAGGAGCAGCAACAACCTTCCACTATTCTGTCAGCAGCAAGTTCGTCAGGTATTACTAAACACCTTTTCTCCACACCTATGAATTTCATCCCTCTTATGCATGTTAGTTCCCCTGTCAATACAAACTGCCACTTTCTCTAACTCACCCTCACAACCCACAGTAATAGCCATGATGAGAAACACAGCTACTCAACCACCACCTCTTTTCCCACCGTATATATTGTCCCAAACTGTTCAGCCACCGCCTCCTTTATCACACTATATAGTCCCAAATTGTTCAGCCACCACCTCCTTTCTCAAACTATATACCTTTCCAAACAGTTTTTCAACACACTTCACCTTATAATATTCCCCTTTTCCAGCAACAATCTTACTCACAAATGCCACATATTCCCTCATTATCACTCTTTTGTATCCCTAAACTTGAACTTGTTATGTTTGATGGTTCAAATATATTAGAATGGTTATTCCAAGCTGATCAAATTTTTAATTTCTGTAATCTTCCACCAGAAAATAGATTATCATTAATTTCATTTTATATGAAAGATGATGCTTTGGATTTGTTTAAATTGATGTATCAAAATTTATTATTGACAAATTGGGACTCATTCACAAATGCTTTGCAATTACGTTTTGGTCCTTCTTCTTTTGAGAATCATCAAGCTGAGTTATTCAAATTAAAACAAGATGGTTCGGTTGTTGAATACCAAACTAAGTTTGAAAAATTAGGAAATCAACAATACCAAACTAAGTTTGAAAAATTAGGAAATCAAGTTGTTGGTTTGTCTCCCGAAGTAATTTTAAATTTTTATTTCTGGATTATCTACTGAAATTCGTAACGAAATGGCCATTCATAAACCAAACACCATATCACAAGCTATTGGCCTTACGAAATTGATAGAGTCAAAAATCAAAGAAGCCAAATCAAAGTTCACCGATCCTTATGTTAACACGTACACAAAACCTAACCCCAATTATTCCACACAATCTTCCTCCAAACCAGCTTATGTCAATACACAACAAAGTTTCATTCCGCCCAAAATTCCTTCCACAACCCCTCCTAACAGGCTACCCGTGAACGCTTTTCCCCAGCCGAATTGCAAGAGCGAAGGGCTCTCAGTTTGTGTTTTAATTGTTGTAAGTGTTTGTTGGTAGCAATTTTGATAAAACAATGACTTGATAATGTTTTGTTAAATGTCTTGACATTTGAAGCAAACTGTTTTAAATGATGTCAAAGTAGATGTCTTGACATCTGCCTCCTGAGCTGAACGAGCTTCGTATCTGGTTTAATTTTTTTGTTTCCTGTTTTTATGCGCGCCATTATTCAGGATTTGTGACTCATAGGTTGCGAAAATGGAGGAATGTTTTTCTATTTGCATTATCCTTATGGATTATATCTTGGTCTGTTTTCGTGGAAATATTCAAAAGATTGGAATATTTGTTTTTCAGTCCACTGCTACGCTTTTATAAGGACTTGCATCCTTATTCATTTGACTGCAACTTTTGAAGAAGAATACATTCTTTCTATTTTAGAAGTCTAAGTCTTTTAGTTGTAATACACTCTAGTATTGATGTAATACTTGAGTTGTTATTTGAGTTGTTAATTGTGGATCATTCATAAGCTTTTAAGTATTGAATGATTGAAGTCTTTAAAATTAATAATTATGTTGTTCTTCACTGTTAATGGTTGATGGGATTTGAGGAGGGCCTCATACCTAGGTGTGTCTTAGGTAGAAGTATAACACGGGTAGTGATTAAGTGATTAGATCGTAAACTGGTTATTTACTAAGGGTCTATGAATTGAGTTTGGAAGAAAAAGGGATGAAGAAAAATCCACTCAAGGGAAGGGAATACAATGTCATGAATGTGAAGGCTTTTATCACATTAGATCTGAATGTCCTACATATCTTAAGAAACCGAAGAAGAATCTATCTGTTACTTAGTCTGAAGAGGACTCAGAGAGTGATCTTGAATAATCTTTCAAATATGTTAAAGCATTGACAAACAAGTATGTCTCTGATGAAGAGTTTAGTGATGAAGAACTAACCTTTGATGAGCTTGCTGCTTCATACAAAGAATTATGTCTCAGAAGTGCAGAAGTGTGTCAAGAAGGGGAGAAACAGAAAGTCCTCATAACTCAGCTGAAGGCAGAAAGGGAAGAGAATCTAAAATCTATTTATAATCTGGAAAGGGAAGTGACTTCTCTAAATTCAAACCTTGATAGAATGGTCAAATCTCTCAAGATGCTGAATAATGGGTATGACACATTAGATGAAATTCTTCAAGCAGGAAGAGTGACAGGAGACAAGAGTGATCTATGGTTTAATGAGAAAAAGGAACCAAATTCAGAAGAACCTTCATTAGATTCCACTTATGCCAAGTCTAAACCAAGGATGTCGAATTAAATGTCTAAACATCATGGCAAGAAAGGACATCATGGAAAATATCATGGCAAGAAAAAGTTTAATCACATCAGAGAGAATTCCCAGCCCTGGAGATGTCATCACTGTGGAAGGCTTCGTCATATAAGGCTTTTCTATTTCAAGTTGTATGGGTATCCTAAAACTACTCCTCTTTCCAAAACTGATCAGATTTCCCAAAATAGCAAAAAGAAGAAATAGTGGGTTCCCAAGTCTAATGTTGATAGTTTCATAGCTCATACCTCTCTCAGAGTATCAACCAAAGATGACTGGTACTTTGATAATGGTTGTTCTAAACACATGACAGGTGTCAATAATCTGTTGATAGATATCAAATCTCATTCCACCAGTTATATGACTTTTGGTGATGGAGCCAAAGGTGAAATCAAAGGAGTTGGCAAGTTGGGATGTTCGGGAGTCCCTAAGCTTGATGATGTGTTACTTGTTAAAGGGTTAACTGCTAACATGATAAGTATAAACCAATTGTGTGATCAAGAATTCAAAGTTAACTTCACCAAGGAAGAATGTCTTGTTTGCAATGAAAAGAATGACGTTATTATGAAAGGAATCAGATCTAAAGAAAATTGTTATTTATGGGTTTCCCAAGAGTTGAACGTCTCCTCAACATGTGTTTTAGACAAAGAAAAATGAAGTTAAACTATGGCATCAAAAATTGGGACATTTGCATCTGAAAGGAATGAAAAGAATTATATCTGAAGAGGCTGTGAGAGGGATTCCTAAGCTCAAGATAGAAGAAGGAAGAGTATGTGGTGACTTCCAGATTGGAAAGCAAACTAAGATGTCACATCAGAAGATCTAACATCTTACTACATAAAAAGTTTTGGAACTTCTTCACATGGACTTGATGGAACCTATGCAGGTTGAAATTCTTGGTGGAAAGAAGTATGCATATGTTGTTGTAGATGACTTCTCTATGTACACATGGATAAGTTTATTAGAGAAAAATCAGAAACTTTTGAAGTGTTTAAAGATCTCTGTCAAAAACTTCAAAGGGAAAAAGATAGTCATGTCATCAGAATTAGAAGTGATCATGGAAAGGAATTTGAGAACAATAAATTTGCTGACTTGTGCTCTTCTGAAGGAATCAGTCATGAATTATCTTCTCCCATTACTCCTCAACAAAATGGGATTGTGGAACGTAAAAACATAACCCTTCAAGAATCTTCCAGAGCTATGATTCATGCTTAAGAAGTTACCCCACCACTTTTGGGCCGAAGCT